TATATTAAAATTTAATTAATATTTCATTTGTTACAAAATATTATTTTTTTAATAAAAAAATATATTTATAGTAATAAATTTAAAACAATACATGAAAAATTTTAATATTTAATATATATTATTTTAGTAGTAAAATCGATACTATATCAATACAGTATTAACAACTTTTACTTTAAGATAATTCTGACCCAGATGAATATCAAAACCTTGATCTCCTTCATGATCAAAACCTTTATCACCTTCATGAAAAAAACCCAAACGTTTTGTCAACTTACCTATTATTTACAATTATAAGACCTGATGTCAATCATTACCTCTCCTCCCAAAATCTTTCCGATGTTGGAACAAGGGTCAAAGCTTATCTCAGGGAAACTGCAGGTATAGATGGTAGCAGTGCATTGGAGTTTGCAAAAATATATCTTTCTTTAAGCCATGAAAGAGACCTTTATGAAATATTTTATATTCAACTAGGATTCATGTTTGATGCTGTCTACACCAAAGCTAGTTTGATTTACACCAAGTTAGGATGCTTCTTGCGCCTCACCGGTTTCACTTGCTCTTTCTCAGTTCTATTTCTCTTCTTTATCAACGTCATTAATGAGCCAAAATTCTATGGCTCAAGAATTGATATTGCCATAACTGGCATCTTATTGACTGGAGCTATTGCACAAGAACTTTATGCAGCATGGGTAATGTTCTTCTGATTGGGTAGATCTTGTTGCAGAGTTTCATCATAATGTGTTTGTACGCAAAATGCTTAAGGTCTTCTCAAAGTACTCCCCTTGCTTATTGCATCAAAGTAAAAGGTGGTCAAATCACATGGGTCAATTTGATTTGTTGGAATATTGTTGGCGTTACAAGAAAAGGAAGGCAAACCAATCACATGGCTTTCTACTGACGATTATTATTGGTAGTGAAATTGTTGAAATGTGGCACAAATACAGCTTTACTAAATTTATGAATGTTCCATTTTTTTCAACATGAAAATGTTGGAATTTTTAGTGATCAACATACGTAGAATTTAGGATACCAAGATTTAATAAAATAAAAAATTTACGTACCTTAAATTTTCATAATTAATATATTACTTATGAATCTTCAAAGATCTTTAAGAATCATCATAATTAGACATTTCATGATAAAACCTACAAAACCAAATATAGTTAGTATTTAGGTCTTCCTCTTCCTAATCAACTTATATATAGTGATAACCGATGGGTCATGCCACTTCCTAACTTTATTATTTATAAAGGTAGAGTTTCCTGAATGAAAGAGGGACCTAACCCATTATAATAATCTTTTGGGGACCCCCATTAAGTAGCCCACCTTTACTTTCTAGCCCTACACTTATTCATATCACATTATATAAAATTGAGATAAAATTTAGACCCACTTCAATCACATTACTTTATTGGGCTTTACCAATTTTTTTATTTGACCCAATTTTTGAAAATCAAATATAATTAACCGACAACTCACATAAAAATTTCCAACAGAAAATACTTACATTTGCCAATTGCGTCAAGCTTTTATAGGGAACTCCATAAATATAACAAGAGGTGAAAATGCATCGCAGGAATGTCAAAATTTTGTTCAACTAAAATGGAGCATTGAATTGGAGTTTGATCACAGCATCATAATATGACACCTTGCCACAGGTGTTTGCTACTTTCAAGAGGATAATCATGATGATGAAGCCATGAAAATTAGTAAACATTTATCAGATTACATGATGTATCTATTGGTCATGTGTCTTGCCTTGCTATTGTCCCAGCATAGTAAGAGTTTTTGGCTTGATCATGTTTATGACAACCTAAAAGAACTTGTGTATCTTGCAATTGATATAAGAAATGCTGCTTCCACATTACTTTCCAATCCAGATAATGTTCATGAAGAGGAGCTTGAATCCATGAAGAGGAGTTTGAATCCAGGTTTGATGTCTTTAATTTCTTATTTTCATAGAATTATAAAATTAGAATTAAGTAGTTTTATTTCTTTCTAAAATTCCTTTTTTTTTTTCTTAAGCCACAGGGATGTTACTTTTGAAAACCTTAAAGGAGATGTGTCGAAACTAGCCACATTTTTAATGCAATCAAATAGTAAATGGAAGATGATTAGGGATGTTTGGATGGAGATGCTTTCCTATGAAGCATTTTCAAGTCTGCATATTAATCGCGTTAAACAACTAGGAGAAGGCATTGAATTCCTCTCACAAATTTGGCTTTTCGTAGGCCCTTGCGTTTTGGATACTTTGGAAATGTGACCAACATCTACAAGCTTGACGGCCTTATGTCTCATGTTTGAATTAGATACTTCAAGAAGTAGCAACACAATTTTTTTATTTTTTAAATGGATAACAATTTGGGGAGGGAATTCGAACCCAAATTTAGTGCTAGGAGTGCATCTTAGAATGTGATAAATAGCTATTAGGTCACGAAGTCCAAGTGCAGAAGTGACAACGTAATTTATGTTATTTTCTTAGATAAATTTATATCTAATATTTATTGTAAACTTTAGGGTTTATTTGGTATAGCAGTTAAAATTCAGCGGATAGCAGATAACGGATAGTGGATAGCGGTAGCAGGTGACGGTTAGCGGATGGTGGATAGTGGAAAGTGGATAGCGGATGGTAAATAACGGATTCGATAAATATAATTGTTTGGCTATACAATGGTTAGCAGTTGTTATTTAA